TGATACAATCAACTAAAATCAATGATACAATCAACTAAAATCAATGAAAAAATCAACTAAAATCAATGAAAAAATCAACTAAAATCAATGAAAAAATCAACTAAAATCAATGATAAAATCAACTAAAATCAATGATACAATCAACTAAAATCTGTGATAAAATCAACTAAAATCAATGATACAAACAACTAAAATCAATGATACAATCATGTGGAGGCAGAATAGGCTTGCTTAAAAAGAAAAGTCTTTAAGCCTTTTTTAAAGTCAGTCATTGATTGTGGAGCTCTCAGATATTCAGGGAGGGAGTTCCAGAGGTGGGGGGCAGCCACACAGAATGCTCGATCTCCCATGGTTCTTAATTTAGTTTGTGGAAGGTGGAGGAGATGACTGTTCTGTGATCGTAGGGACCGGGTGGATGAATATGGAGCAAGAAGGTCCTTCAGATAATCTGGTGAATTTCCGTATAAACACTGATGGTAATGAGAGCAATTCTGTACTGAATTCTGTAGGTGACAGGAAGCCAATGGAGGTTATGGAGTATGTGTGTAATATGTTCAAATTTACGAGCTCTCAATAAAATCCTGGCTGCACTGTTTTGAATAGACTGAAGCTTCTGAAAGTTTTTGCCGGGTATTCCAGTAAACAGGGAGTTGCAGTAGTCGAGCCTGGAGGAGACAAAAGCATGGATGAGTTTCTCTGCATCAGCAAAAGTGAGAGATGGGAGAAGTTTGGAGATATTTCGAAGATGGAAGAAACAGGTTTTAAACAGATGCTTAATGTGATTTTCAAATGTAAGATGAGAGTCCATTTTTATTACAAGATTTGTAACAGAGGTGGTGGAGAGGGGGATGTCTTGTCCAGAAAATGAAATAGTCGTTATAGTTGAAGTTTGAACCTGGTGAGGGGTGCCAATCACTATGGCCTCTGTTTTGGAGCAGTTTAACTGAAGAAAGTTCTGATTCATCCATGCCCTTATCTCCTCCAGGCAGGTAGAGAGGGCAGCGAGTGAAGATGGAGATGACAGTGGTGAAGATGATGCTCCAGTCCTGATGTAAAGCTGTGTATCGTCGACATAACAGTGAAAAGAAATGTTGTACTGATTAATAATTTGACCTAAAGGCAGCATGTAAAGGGAAAATAGCAGGGGCCCTAAAACTGACCCTTGAGGGACACCACAGGAGACACAGACAGTCTGGGACTTGGCATTGCCAAGACTAACACATTCCAGCCTATTGGAGAGGAAAGATTTAAACCAGTCCAGGGCAGTGTCACAGAGACCGACCTCCACATGAAGACGGTGGAGGAGGATACTATGGTCCACAGTGTCGAAAGCTGCAGTGAGGTCAAGGAGAACAAGGAGGGAGGGAGAACCAGTGTCAGCAGCCATGAGGACATCATTGGTGACTCTCAGCAGTGCGGTCTCAGTACTGTGAGCTGCACGGAAGCCAGACTGAAACTTCTCATACAGGGAGTGTTGTTGTAGGTGGATCTGCAGCTGAGCAGCAACTGCTTTTTCCAGAACTTTTGACAGAAATGGGAGGTGAGAAATTGGGCGGTAATTAGAAAGAATGTCTGGATCCAAATTAGATTTTTTCAGAAGAGGCCTAATGATGGCAGTTTTAAGAGGCAGTGGAACTTGACCAGATTGCAGTGACTTATTTAATATTTGTGTGATTAATGGGCTTATTGCAGAGTGATTGGATTTAATGAGAGACGAGGGGAAAGGATCCAGGGCGCAGGATGAAGGCTTCATTTTCTTGATGATGGTCTCCACTTCACTCTGAACAACCTCATCAAAGCAGCTCAGGGACCCAGAATGCAGACAGGTAGATGGCAGATGAAGATCAGGGAGGCTATGGAGCTGAGATCTAATGGAGTTAACTTTGTTTTTAAAAAATGAAAGGAACAGGTTGCATTTTTGAACAGAGTCCTCATGAGATTGTTTAATGGGATTAAGGAGATGATTTATTGTGGAGAAGAGTTGTTTAGAGTTTCCAGGGCAGTTGTTGATGATGTTGGAATAATATTTGGACCGTGCTTCTTTAAGAGAAAAGGCGTAGGCTTTCTGATGTTCTTTAGATGCCTGCTGATGTACAGAGAGACCAGATGATTTTACACGTCTCTCAATAGCACGGCCAGCTGCTTTCATCTTGCACAGCTCAGCAGTGGACCAAGGGGCTGAACGGGAGAAAGACACCAGCCTTGCTTTAAAGGGAGCATGGAGGTCCAGAAGCTCCTGGAGAGATTGGTTGTAGTAATCCACAGAGTCATTTGCAGATGAATGATTGACAGCGGTCAGGGAGTGGAGATCAGAGGACAGAACCTCAGGGGAAATGTTTTTAAAGTCACGGAACTGGATAAGTCGTTTAGGATTAGGAGCAGATGAAGTTGAAGGCACTTCCAGGGAGATGACACTGTGGTCTGAGACACCCAGGTCATAGACAGATAAGTTATTGATAGGTACAGTGTCTGTAATCACCAAATCCAGAGTGTGCCCCCTGTTGTGCGTAGGGGCGTCAACATACTGAGTGAGATTGAGAGAATCCAAAAGGGACTTAAACTCTGCTGCCAGAGGGGAAGAGGAATTATCAATGTGGATATTTAAATCTCCAAGAATAATATTTTTCACAGGAGATGCGCAGAAAAAAGTGAGGAGGTCATGCATCTCTGAGTTAAATGAAACATGTGGTTTGGGAGGCCGATAAATCAATAGAACATTCATCAGGAGGGGGACTTTAAGGTTGAAGGCCAAACATTCAAAAGACAAAAAGTCCTGAGAAGCTAAATGTGATCATTTTAAATGACTGCGGTAAATTACAGCCGGACCACCACCACGGCCAGTGCAGCGGGCTTTCTGCAGGTAACTGTATCC